GGTGATTTAAAGTATTTTCTTGGGATTGAAGTTGCCAGATCTAAACATGGTATTTTTCTATCCCAAAGAAAGTATGTTTTGGATTTACTTGCAGAAACTGGAATGTTGGATTGTAAACCGATTGATACCCCTAGTGAGCAGAATCATAAGTTGGGGATATATCCCGATCAAGTTCCAACTGACAAAGAACGTTATCAACGACTTGTGGGGAAGTTGATTTATTTGGCTCATACTCGTCCAGATATTGCGTATGCTGTAAATATAGTGAGTCAGTTTATGCACTCTCCTAGTGTAGATCATATGGGGGCTGTGACTCGTATTTTAAGGTATCTGAAAGTAACTCCTGGCAAGGGGTTAATTTTCTCCAAGTATGGCCATACAAATGTAGAAGGGTATACAGATGCTGATTGGGCAGGTTCAGCCACAGATAGGCGTTCGACATCTGGGTATTTTATGTTTGTGGGTGGCAATCTTGTTACGTGGAGGAGCAAGAAACAAAAGGTGGTGTCTAGATCTAGTGCTGAGGCCGAGTATCGGGGAATGGCCCATGGTGTATCTGAGTTATTATGGTTGAGAAGATTGTTGAAAGACTTTGGGTTTGGGCCTAATAAACCCATGGAGTTATATTGTGACAATACGGCTGCGATTGCAATTGCTCATAATCCTGTACAACATGACCGTACAAAGCATGTGGAGGTTGATCGAAATTTTATTAAGGAAAAGTTGGATGCGGAGATTGTGTCCTTCCCCTTCATCCGTTCAGAGTATCAGTTAGCTGATGTTCTTACGAAAGTTGTTTCTACAAGTATCTTTCTCAACTCGCTTGACAAGTTGGGCATGCGTGACGTCTTTGCTCCAACTTGAGGGGGAGTGTTGGCGAGTCCTATTCTATTTGGGTTTTATTTATTTTTCCTTTGTGTAGATATTATGTAATTAGGATTCCACTTATTTCCTAATTAAACCCTACTAGGGTTTGTAACCTGTATTATAAATACCTCCTTTCGGAGAATGAAATAGATCTGAAAATATTCTACTATATTGTTTGACTGAAGTTTTAATTATTTTGTTAAATGACAGCAGTTCTTGGATTGGGTGGAAGAGGGAGCAAAATGTCCATATTGTGAAGGTCATGGGTTTACAATTTGCGACGTATGTGAAGGGGCAACAGTAGCTTTGGTGTGAAAATATCTTCCCATAAAGACATGTGCAGTTTTATGCTTTAGTACATGTGTTTAATGGTAGTTTGCATTTATAAACAAATGCAGAAAATCATATGCATATCTACTATTTATTGTACAAGTCAACGATATCATAGTTGTGTGTGTGTGTGAGAAATCCCCCCCCCCTTTCTTTAGACTATTGCTTGTACTAAAAAAAAATTAAAAAAAAACAAGTTGACGTTGTACTTGGAAATTAAAGAGAAAAATAAAAAGGGAAGTTGCCAATCGGCAAATTTAATACTTGATCAATAATTCAACAGACCAATTGTTATGAATACACACTATCTCCTCGTGTAATGGAAGGCAAAGCAAGTCCAAGGGTTAACAATTTTTGGCATGGAGTTACTGTGCTCTTTTCCCATCTCTCTGTGATTGTTGGTTGGGGTAACAATTTTTACCTTAATAAGATGAAAACCAAATCCAGCATGAAGTAAGTTAATTTAACCATTACTCGATAGGACGTGTTAATGCAAATAATAAACCGAGAGATTTAACATTTAACTGTTATTTATATATATATAAATAGAAATTCTCATTTCTTTATATGGCATTCTAGGAATTCTTAAAAAATTATATAAAAAAGAAATTAATCTATTCGAGCATTTTGAGCACTAATATCGCTTGAAGAAATAACTCTAGCCTTGTTGGGTAAAATGTTATTTTAGCCCTAAACCCTAAAATAATATGACAAAATGGTTTATTTAAATAGCTATACTCTTCAAAATATATTCCCATATTTTAAAAGTATAGCCGCACGGCTATACACCCTTTCAAACTCTTCAAATATTTTCCTCACGAACACGAAGCCTACACTCGCAAAGGAATGTGGTGCACGAGTGAAATAAAGGGACAAATAAATGAACACAAAGCTTGCACTCGCAGTCACAGCCATTTCGCTTCTCTATAAGCGCTTCCAAACTTCAAAGACTCGATCTTGAGCCTCTCTCTCAACTCAAGCTTAGATTTCTTTTTTTCGGGTTTCAGTTGCTGTGTTGATTCCATTGGATTGGGCTTTCTTAATGTCTGCCGAGGCAAAGCCTTATGTCCTCCGAGTTCAAGCGCCCGCCTAGCGACTGCCTAGCCGCCTAGCCGCCCACCTAGGCCGATTTTTCGAACACTGTGAATGACTAAAAGTCTAAAACCCAAAATTGAAAAAATGTAGCTGCGAATTTGAGCTTGAGATTGGGAAGCCGATGCAGTGAAGCACAAGTCAGGTCCATAGAAGAAGAGATCATGGGACTCTTAATTCATCTAATTCCATTTCTCTTCCTGTTTCCCACCTTATTCTCTTCTCTCTTCTCTCTTGGCTCTCTCCCAAACGACATGTTCACCTCACCACACCAACGACAACGATGACAATTCCTCCCTCTGCCAACTCCGCCTTATTCTCTTCTCTCTTCGCATTGACGACTTGGCGCAACATAAAAAAATACAAAATTTGCTGACTTGGTGTCTGTCTTCAGTGGAAGGAAAATGATGAAGCTATCCTATCATGGAGTTTCTATGGTCTTGCCAATAACAAGGTTCGGTTTTTAGGCCCCAATCTTAAATTCTGACTATTTATTTCCGGTTTGGTTAAGCATTAGATTGATTCGTTTGGTTCTTCTTCTTTCAAGCTTGATAAATCTTTATGCATTCAATATTCATCCATTGATGGTTCTTCTTGGTTGGACTGCTTTTCATTATTTGGATATTGCATTTCCGTTATAGATTTTGACAGTTCATCATGCCCTCGTGTTTGCAGAGCGATAAAATAATAATAATAATAAGAGTTGTCTCCTCCTCCTCTTGCATAGGAACACAAAACCAACCCACTAAAGAACAGAAAAAAAAAATGAAATATTTCGCCACCTCAAGAGAAAAATCTAATTCATTTAAGCTTTTATATTAGTTCTTTTGTCAGCATCTATGTTTCTATAGTGTTAACTCCACCTCAACTCCAAAGAAAACAAATAAAAAAAATTAGAGGGTGCATTTGCTAACGCATGGGTTGGGAATCTCTTAATTATATTTAACTTTTCAAACTGACTTCAAAAGCACTGGATTAACACACCAACATGAAATATCGTTTATCGAGCCTCCATTAGTATAAAAGGACTGTGACTTCATTAGCTGAAAATGCTTTAGAAGAAGGATCAACTTCCAGTTCATTGAGATCCCTTTCACTATAAAAACCAGGTTTTTGAGGTTGAGGCAATGACCCTTCACCACTCAACATTACAACTGCAACTGGCATGCTCGGCCTATCTGCCAGGTTACGCTGCACACCTAAAAGACCTACATGATGAAAATAGAGGAGCCCCCGAGCAATTCCATTAATAATGTGAAATCTCTTGGGCCAATCTAGCATCATGCTTTTTCTTGCAATTTCTAGTCTTGTGATTTTTATCTTTCCACTTGTAGGATGAAAGTGAAGTTTTCTTCAGGATAAAAAAAGAACAAATCTACAGAAACTGGTTGATGCTTTGTGTACCACAGTTTCCTGGAACCTGAATCATTAATAATTTTGTTTGAGAACGACCACATTCACAAGCAGAAGACTGCTGATAAGGTAAGACTTCATCAAAACCACTGTATATAATTTTACTTATAAAAATAATTTTATTGTTGCATAATTGATTTGTAACCTTATTATAGATGATGCCTCTAAACTTATATATTTCTGTTTCTCATGTCAACTCTTTGTTACTTCATGTGTGCAACATCAAATGGAAGACATCTTTCTGCTCTCGAATGGAGGTTCACCAATATTTCAAGGTTATATAGAGAGTGGGGAAGGAGATGGTGGTTGAAGGTTTGGAAAACTTTATGCTACGAATATGTGATTGGCTAAATTAAGGGTTCTATACATTGCAAACTAAACTACTTTAAAAAATATTATCATGATCTAATTTAGAGTTGACTTATTCTCTTTCCTATGCAAGTATGAGTTTATGACCTTGGTATATCATTACCATTCCATTCAACAATAGTATATGGTTAATACACAACATGCAGGACATGCATATGTGGCCATATTTATAGTGTTCGATAATTGGTAATTAAGAGCTTTACGTGTGCAAAATCCATGAATAATCGTTAGTTAATCGGGGTTCTAGTTTTTAATGGTTACCTTTTAATCGGGTCTTCAACAAAGGAGTTTAATCGGCATTTCCTTAATGGGTGGAATGAATTCCCCTCACTAGCATCCGCGCCGTTTTATGCCATCCTCATTATTCAGGATGTCTACTGATTCACATGTTAAGTATTGCAATAATGCATGATTAGTACTTCAACCACTATTTCTCTCTCTTCTCTCTCTCTTTCTTCGCTAAAACCGACCTGCAATGAACCATTTGCTTGGTCATGAACTGACTGTGGTCGGTAGATGAGAGTGGTCGGTCGATGTTGGTCCCATAATTTCCTTCATCGACTTGATCGGTTTCAGTTTGGTAGGTAGTTCCAACCACTTGGTCCGATTAATCAAACTGTGCTTAGTCCTAATCAGCCTCCGAAACCAATGCACTGCATTGAAATGTGCAAAGTCTTTTTGAATCTACAAAGCATGCACTGCATTGGAATACGAGAAGTCCTTTTGAACATCCAGAGCATGCACTGCATTGGAATGCGGAAAGTCCTTGTTGAATGAACAATTTTCCAGCACTCCATCAATTAATTCTCTTGTTGGTTCTTATTATAAATGATTACCATATGCATTCAGCCTTGCATTCTTCAACTTAAGGTGATTGTTTTCCCAAGTTTCTGTTTATTATTTAGTAATCTTTTTGTCTCAGTGCTCCATATATTCTTTTTAATTCCTTGTCATACTCTTGCAGATGGACGACAGAAGATGGAAGGACTTATACAAACACATTGCAAACACACGAACCTAGAGCTGATTGGCAAGTGGAAAAATTTGGAGGTGTTATCATTGGGTTCATGCTTAAATTTGGCAAAAATACTTGCAATTATACAAACACATTGCAAGAATTTTTATGGTTTAGATTTGTCCAAAGGCTCTGGTCATGGACGTGAGGCATTGTCAATTGTGAAGTTGGGACCTAATATCAAGTACTTAAATCCGAAGGGTGCAAAAGTTAATCGGGGTGGTCTTGTCACGTTGCTGCACTGATTCAAAGATCTGTTGATGTTAGACGCCAGAGATTGGTCTGGTTTCAATGACAACGACGATGAAATGTCAAAGCACATGCGTCTCATATTAGTAAATTTATATGCGAGGGTTTTGAATTTTCTGAATTTCTTCGTGGTATGGACAATTTGGTTCTTCATGTTGATGGATACTCATTTCATTTGCATGTAAAGGAGACGTAGGATGAAATGCTCAATGATTTGCGCGATGCGTTCAATGATTTGGGCAACGAGGAATGAAGAACTATTTGATTGTACAAAGTGATATCTCATCTTTTTATATTTACAACACAATTGAGCAATTATGTGTGTTGAGTGTGGTGTGGTGTTCATCTTGTGTTTGTGGACATTGTTACTCCAATGAGGGCTTGTAATAAGTTCCTGTCTTGATTTCATTATAAGATGTTTGCTTAATTTGGAAAATGGCCATTCTAAATTCCTTGGCTACATTTTTTGTAATATCACATGTGCTCGCGATTGTTCTTCAGCCTTGCCTCTGCCTCAATTTCTATCCTAACTTTCCCTTCCCACCAAAGTTTTTCCTAGCTAAATTTCTTTGAGGTTTAGGAAAAATTTCTTGGTGAAAAAAGAATGTTGGTTGCACTAGCTTAACAACAGGCACAACCAGTAGACAAATGAAATAATATGTTATATGTAACACATGTTGTTCGAATTCTCATTTAGAATAGTTCATATATCAATGTCATATGATTTATGTTACCTTCAATTTATTTCAAAACAGAGCTGCAAACTTCTCTTCGTTGTCTCGTTAGACTGTTTTGTATCCAATTTTTCATCTACATAGAATACATCGCGGACTGATATATCTCATAGCAGAAGAGAAGGGTTGTCAAGTGCAATGAGAAAAAAGTCTATAATTGGGTTTAGTTCATAATTACGATGGATACATTTTAAAAAGTAAATTCCTATACAAGCAATTTTATACTATGAAATTCAACATTTTTTTATCCACAAAATGTTGGCGAATCCCTATTTTTTGTTGTTACATTTATGGGTTTAACCTGTATTATTTGTTATAAATAAAATTAATTTTTTTTATTCTTGCCCAATGGGCTAATAGTTGGAAATCATTAGAATGAGAGGTATCGGAAAGAATTTAAATTTTCATTCTCCAATATCGCTTGTATAAATAAAATAATTGAAGTAATAACTCCAGCCCAATGGGCTAAAGTGGAATTTTAAAGGGTAAATACATTCGAATATTTTAAAAGTATATTTAAAAGTATAGCCGAATAAAAAACGATATATATTTAAAGGGTAAATACATTGGAATATTTTAAACGTATAGCCGAACGGCTAGACTCTTTGAATATTAATATATTCGAATATTTTCAGAGTATAGCCGCACGGCTATACTCTTTAAATATTATCACGAAGCTTGCACTCGCAGTCACAGCCATTCGGCTATACTCTTTAAATATTATCACGAAGCTTGCACTCGCAATCACAGCCATTTCGCTTCTCTATCAAACTCAAAGCTTCGATTGGTTTTCTACGGTTTCGGCACCAAAAAAAGACTCAACCCGCCTAGGAGGCCCGCCCAGCCGCCTAGCCGCCTAGCGCCCGCCTAGCCCCACATCGCTGGCTTGTTGCAGATTTTGACGGAGAAAAATCTGATAGCGGAGACAGGGTCGAGTTCCAGAGCCATAGAATTGGACCATATT